TATCCACCTGGCCATGCCGGGCACTATAGTGAAGAATGGAAGTCCTAGACTGACAGCCTGCCGTCAGTTCAACGATATATATATATATATAATCTTATAAACTACATATAATTATAATACTTGAATATTATTATACAGGTGAAACACCGTCAGTGTTTAAGTTCAAGCCAGACGCGTACGAATATTCACTGCGTTTATCCAAAAAATATCATTTAACTTGAATTTACAAACACTATCTTAAAATGACAATGTTAAAGCATTCACTCCAACCTAAATATACTGTTTTACTTTGCTACACATTCGTAAAGGAGACATATTTCACTGACGTAATGTCTAACAGTTTTTCCTCGTATTAACACAGGCGCCATGTTCGAATCGGGAGATGAGATGCTGCAAACAGCTTTCAGCACTGCTATAGATCGAATGAATTCAGATTCCGCCATTCTCTCCAACTCTCAGCTTTCAGCAAGTATTGAACAACTTGGGCATCAAGATAGTTTTCAAGCCTCAAGAAAAGGTAGAGAAAAAAAAACGTTATTATATTATCGAATTATAATATATTTCTACTTTCAGAATCCTATACGTTATATAAATATATCAAGTATCTTAAATATAAATTTATTTATTTTTAAATAATAAAACCAGATAATGGAAAGTGAAGTGGCGTCATGATATTGTTACTTATGAATATTTAAGACTATTTAGTCTAGCCATCACAAGACTTACTGAGTAGGTTTTTGAAGAATGCTAGAAAAACGACAATGTGTTACTCTATTTCTCACGTGTAAGTTAAAAACAATGGCCAGGTGGCTAGGGCACTCGACTCGCAATCTGAGGGTCGCGGGTTCGAGTCCCCGTCACACCGAAACATGCTCCCCCGGTGTCCGAACTAGGACGTTAGTCCTATACTCCCGGATACACACCCCCAACAGAATTTGGAGGTGTAAGAAACACCATACGAAACTACTACTTAAAAACATGAATGAACTTAAATTAGCGAGAGTTCCATTTCTGGTCCATTATGCGCGTCATCAAGGTCATGCTTAAATTAGGTTTTTCAAACTAAATTTTCTTACAAATTTTTGTCTCAAAACATAATAAGACGTTTTTAATCCATTCTGCTGGTAACATACTCGAATAATATGTAACATCACAAGTTTATCGAAGTTGAGTATCATTAACCCTGAAATGACCTACTCGTTTTTGTGCAGTAAGGTCCACATATTGTACATTAACCCTCAAATGACACACTCGTTTTTGTACAGTAAGGTCCACATATTGTACATTAACCCTCAAATGACACACTCGTTTTTGTACAGTAAGGTCCACATATTGTACATTAACCCTGAAATGACCTACTCGTTTTTGTACAGTAAAGTCCACATATTGTACATTAACCCTCAAATGACCCACTCGTTTTTGTACAGTAAGGTCCACATGTTGTACAATAACCCTGAAATGACCTACTCGTTTTTGTACAGTAAGGTCCACATATTGTACATTAACCCTCAAATGACACACTCGTTTTTGTACAGTAAGGTCCACATATTGTACATTAACCCTGAAATGACCCACTCGTTTTTGTACAGTAAGGTCCACATATTGTACATTAACCCTCAAATGACCCACTCGTTTTTGTACAGTAAGGTCCACATATTGTACAATATAGAATACGTTTATATTTATGCCCGTTAGAATACTGAGTATAAAGAACTGATCAAAAGTAATTGGGTGGAAACATTTATGCTCTGTGTAAAATACATAGTGGATTTCAGCAGTAATTAGTTAGATTAACTGCAATATTGATGATTTTTCGTTGTTTTTTTTTGTGTGGCTCGTACGATATTAGGAGCCTAACAGTTTAATACGTAAAAAAAAAAACGAGTTAAGTAATATGTATTTTAAACAGGGCCACAGAAAGTTATTCTGGGCCATGGGGTAATCGTGTATATATGGGCCCCCATAATATCAATTAACTATAAAATGCAACTTCTAAGTACGAATTTGCTGGTTATATTTTAATATAACTCTTTATGCACGTTACCTTATTTATTTCTTTGCTTTTGTACGGGCCCCCTTATGACCCCGTTACCCCCCCCCCCTTATCGGCGGTCCTGGTTTTAAAACTTAAAGCAGATGGTGAATCCTATCGGTAATTTTAGGGTTAACTTATTAGATTCTGTGATTGTTAATGTAAAATGCTACAAATCAACGTCAGTTAGCTTTTAGAAGTCGTAATTTCATTTTTTCCTGTACTTGTAATCTATTTATAATTAATCACGATACAAGTCTTAGTGTAGTGGATAAAACAAACTGTAGAGTGTAGAACAAGATTCTGAGACATACCCACCAACGGTTGTCAGATATTTGTTTCTAGTTTCTATATAACAGTAAGGCTGTGTATTTTTTTAAAGGTTTTGGTCAAGATGTTATATTTCCTATTTGTTACGTCATAACATTTCAGGGACATATTTTACTTTATTTTTTAAACTTGCATCACCAGAAAAAGAAGAAAACAGAAATAACGTCTTCGTTGTAGGATACATAGAGCTAGATAGCATAGGCAAGTTGCTAATGGTTGATTGAGAATTTGAGTTTCTGACACAGTGACTATACTGAATCTAAGATCCAAATGGACAGCAACTGCCTGTTGTAGAAACCTTCAAATGTAGAGGACGACGTTTCGAAAGTCTTCCTCCTTTCGTCTTCAGCGACTATGCCGATTCTTCTATTTTTACAAAGAACACTATTGAGTGCTGTTCGTTCATTTTACAATTTTTTTTTACTTTTAACTTCGACATTTTGAAATGGTAAATAATCATCTTGAACATTTTCAATTCAGGAGTAAAAGGCAAGCTTTCTAGCTTTTCAATGTTTTTTTCTTTTCACTTTGTATGTAATTTATATCTAAGAAATCCGATTTAAAAGCAAATGGTCGAAAAGACTTCCAATAAACTTACTGGCGACAATTCTGAATTCAATTGTAAAGACAGAAGTGCAAAAATAACAACGAACTTTTTCAACTTAAAGTAAACATTACCATTATCACAAATGTAAAAACCGTATCTTGTGTCCAAAAATATTGGTGTTTTTACGTATGTTCAGCTCGTTATAAAAGAAGACTGGTCATTTTGTTGAAAACGCTAAGGTTTTATCGTCTTCTGTTTTGTTTTTTTAAGTGATATATCAAATGTTTCTTATCCTCCTCCCTTATCATGAGTTTTCTACGCTTCTAAAAATCTTGATACATGTGGTCAAATCGTACCTAGGAAATATTTAGGGGCTGCCAAGAACAAATTTTTAGTTTGTTGATAAACACAAAACTACACAATGGGCTATCTGTGTTCTGTCCACAATGAGAATCATAACCTTATTTTCAGCTATATAAATCCTTAGAGTTATTGCTGAGCCACTAGGAGTCGCTCAAATGTTAAAAGTAACTTATAAAAATTCAATATTCATATATTCTTATTTATTATCATTTTAACACTTTTTTTCCTGGTCTTAAAAAACAAAACATTATTTGTTCCTGTAGTTTGCGACCTTCTTAGTAAAGGAGTAGCAGCCATCTTTGGTCCACAATCTGAAGAATCTAGTTCAACTGTCCAATCATTTTGTGATGCTATGCACGTGCCTCACGTGGAGATCCGGTGGGACTTTCGAGCACAAGTCGACAACCATTCAGTTAATCTGTTCCCTCACACAACCTCGCTGGGTAGAGCATACCGTGATTATGTTAAGGAAAAGGATTGGAAATCCTTTGCTATCATGTACGAAGAAAACGAAGGTAAAGATTATTAACTTTCATCTTCATACGTTCAACACATAGTTGGTCCAAAAATATGTCAAATTATGTGAGCGTAAAAGTTTTATATTAGAAATAAAAACCTCATTTAGAAGTTATTATACACAGTTTTTCTTATAAGTTAACTTCTCAACATTACTGTTAAATAATTGCACTTTTATTTTTAAACAGCCACCTTCCCACTAATTGCAGACTATAAAACAACAGAGATGTGGGACTTTGTCGGCTTGAGTAGCCACACTTGCTCATACAGTTAAATATAATTAATTTTTTTTTGCAGTGTCTGTAGCATGTTAATTGAAGAAAATTCTATACACGATGTATTTCTAATATTGTGTACATTCTACCTTTCAGATACCTCAAAAAAATTTGTAACACAAATTGTGATTTCCACGTTGTAGTTTTTTCTAATATAAATTAACGTAAAGTATAGCTCAACTAAGGTTGGCGATTTTCGTACTATAATAAAATAGTTTGTTTACAATAAAAAAACGGACGTTTCTTTATTTATTGCGCACACACAAGTCGATCTTCCTTCCCTTTCGCGTCATTAGCATCAGTTGCTTCTGTATTCTTAGCTAACTTTGTTTTTGTTCGCCCTCTTCACGACAGCGTTAGTTCGTCTCCAAGAATTGCTGAAAGACCCATCCATCCGTGAACGAAGAGTCTTAGTAAAACAATTTATCCAAGGAAGAGAGTATCGTAAAACCATTAAGGAAGTAGGCAGAGCTGGCATCAAGAACTTTGTCATCGACGTTCCCACCGAAAAAATTCAGATGGTCTTAAAACATGTACGTGAGTTCATTTGAACGTTAAAATGATATTTTTTTTTATATTTAATTTTGAAAAACAGAGAATGTAAAAGCACGAGGGAAATACAAACTCCTGTTTAAAACCAGTTTTCACAATGAGAAGAATGTAGTTTAACTGTCCAATCATTTCTGTGGCGCTATGCACGTGCATAATTGTTCTAATTCGGTCATCTTAGCTCGTATACTGAGAATGTGCAAGAACACTATACCCTTACTCTTTACAAAAAATCAACAAATATAAAGCTTGTTGTGTTTTTGTGATAAATGTACGATAGAACTTCGGATATGTCAACCACACTATATCTAGTGCCGACGAGGTTTGAACCTAAACATACCTGGTCAGAAATATACGTCTATACACAAAGCATGGTCTGGTAGAATATTTCACTGTCTGTATTTTCTTGTTAACATAGACATCACTGCTTGTTTTTATTAGTAGAACCAGCATTTTGATTTCCTATCTATAACTTTAATCTAACTAGTAATTTTTGTACGCTTCTTATGTAAAAAAAAACTGCATATTTTTCATAAACTTTACTACACGGTTAAATCACTGTTATTGTGAATTTCGTATATGGAAACCACAAGCGAACTATTTTCTTGGCGCTGTTTTACAACCCTTATATGTACGTGAGTAAACATCTTTGAAAGTATGTGGCAAACATCTTTTTAACCAGTATATATAAAAACCATCTTTAAGGTAGTATTTGACAAACTAACATAAACAGATATACACTAGCAACTGCAATAACTTAAGTTTCGGAAAGCAAGATAAGTAGTAAACATAAATTCGTTCCAAAGTGAACGTACTTCTGATACATAGCGAATTTGTACCAATTTATTATTACCTAGTTGGTGCAATGCTTTTTTGTTCCTAATAATGATTGGTCACTTAAAAGAGGAAGGAAAATATTTTGGATTTTTGAAATCAAAGTTCTTGTTATTGGGCTTATTAGCGAACGATGACCATTTCGTTTTATTCTATCTCTAAGCCTTCTATGGTTAAGTACTTAAGGCTTTAACCCTCACTTCTATGTCACTACCAACATTATTTTACGAGTTATTATTTATCTTGGATCCACAATTAATCTTTGGAAGTAACTAAAAGTGTATAACAAGTAATTTTATATTTGCAATGTTAAATTGTCTGCTAATTCTACTAACTCAGGATTATTAATATATTTTATTTAGCAGTTAGTATTACGTTAACATCTCAAAGGTAGAAACCCTGAGTGAAAACATTTAAACTACAAGAATGAATCCCCTGTCCAGATATTAGAGCACATTGTAATAAATGACATAACAGTACTTTTTGTGCCCAAATTTATATTTTAATTGGTATAATTTGGACAGTCCATAAACTTGGAAATGGGTTAATTTTGGAATGTAATATAAAATAAAACAACAACACGTCTATTTAAAAAAAGGTGTATTCGCATATTAGGTTGGTTTTACATTTTTGAGTTTTTTACATTTTTTACTAAATTCCACAGAGAAATCTTACAGTAATAAAATTTGGGAAAATGGATGTCTGTCCGTTTAGGTTGCACTTAGCTGAGTCAATTTGTTCTCACGGTCAGCTCTATGTAGCTCTATCCAGGATACGGTCATTTAATTGGTAAAACTTTTATGTCCCTTCACTTTGAATTCGAATGGCCTTAGTTTTGGACAGTGGCTTGAAATACTACAACTTCATATATTTTGACACGTTCTACAGCAGAATAATATCATTTGGGAAAACAGGTGTCTGTCCGTACACTGTGCGAAGAAAAAGAGAACCTTTTCTCTGCAAAAAATAATTATATGCATGAGGCCTACTAAGAACGACTGTTATATGTTATTTCTGTGTGTATGTGTTAAAAAGGCCAGGTGGTTAGGGCGCTCGACTCGCAATCTGAGGGGCGCGGGTTCGAATCCCCGTCACACCAAACATTCTCGCCCTTTCAA